GCGTACGTGTTCAGGTGCCACTGTCGCCTATGGAAAACCACCGAGTCGGGTGGCAAGCGTAGCGGGGTCGACTGTCAGGTTCTTTGTTGTGCGTAGCGCGTTCGTCCGGTCGCTTCGGTTTTCGTGTCGACGATGCCGCGTGCGCTGTGCGGTCACCTACGCGTGCGCGTTTGCCGTGAGCGAGTAACTCTAAACTTGGAGTCATTTCCCTGCATCCGACGCGTCTCCTGGATGCTCTGGCGCGTGCACATGGGTTCTCAAAAGAACGCGCGCAGCCCATTCCCCGTTTCCGCCCATTAACTTATTTAGACAATTCAGTTTTCATTGCATTTTGCATTTTAGGAAGCCATAGCACGCGGAATCCGCACATCGGTGTCTGGATGTAGAGAGAAAATACTTGGTCATTTGCGAAGCCGTGGTGACAGAACGCGCGTGCAAACCATTTTAAACGATATTAACGGGTACCTCGACGCTTCATGATGCGTCGGCGATCACGTGGCACAGATGAACGTTGATTTGCCACTGCTCCGTTTTGTAATCGAAACTCGCGCCAAACGCTCGAAGACGCGTCGCTGCGGGCCGGCTCTGGGCTACTCGAGCGTTTAGGCTTTGCTTTATGTTCGATAGGTCTTTCGGTCGGTGGCCGTTCCGCATTGTGACTGGCGAACTTCGTTTTCTTTATTTTCTACTAGCAATAAAACCGCCCTCTGTACGTTCGGTGGTTGGTTTGTGTGAACGCGAGTTTCTTATCTGCGTTGCGCGAGTCGCGCAGCGGCGAGTGTAACAATCGCAAGCCGATGTTTTATTGGTAGTTCTACATAGACAGTGATGACCTACGATAATAAAGAAAATAGAACTGCCCAACGTGGGCCGTATTAATAATGCGTGGTTGCTAGTGTGGAGAGGCATTATCAGTACTATTCGCTTATCACTTAGTGCCATCGGCACGCGCTTTACGAGATAGTCGGTGCGCCGAGGTTTCTTGGTTCTCGCGCAGCACCCTTGGAGGTGGTCCCGCATGGGGTGGCCCTTAACGGTGGTGCAGCACGCTTTTGTTGTCTGTTAAAAGCTTGCAGTACACTTGACGCTATCTTGTCAGGCTTTTCTTTAAGCGGAGGCCTACCGTTACGTAACTACGATTCCTGTGTCATCACAATCTTTGAATTTTTAAATGCGAAGCATTTCTTGGCGAGCTTTGGCGACTTTGAGCGTATCTATCTATCTAGCCGCCTATCACTTTCAGCTCTCCTGGCCGTTTCGATAATCCTATCGATATCAATCTTGGTATGGCGTAACATGACTGTATGAAGAACATATTCGCCTAGTCATAACATGGAAAACATGACATGTATGTCATGAGTGTCATGATTTACATTTCATGGCTCTGCAGCTCTTGCAGTGGTTTTCTTCACATGGCATGTCGGAAAACTGGTATGGTATGGCATTATTGCATAACGAACACAAGCGACAGACCCTAGCACAAAAATCATGACATCGTGTCATGTAATAACATGACTAACATGCCACGCTCATGATGCGCTCGCGGCCGTTTCGCCAGGATCACATATATCGAATTTGGTATTACAGTACATGAATGAATGACGAAGGTATGTGACTAGTGCAAACATGATAATCATCACATGTGTGTCATGTAACAACATGACTACATGCTACGCTCATGATGCACTCGCGGCCGCCCCACCGCGGTGGTCTAGTGGCTAAGGTACTCGGCTGCTGACCCGCAGGTCGCAGGATCGAATCCCGGCTGCGGCGGCTGCATTTCCGATGGAGGCGGAAATGTTGTAGGCCCGTGTGCTCAGATTTGGGTGCACGTTAAAGAACCCCAGATGGTCAAAATTTCCGGAGCCCTCCACTACGGCGTCTCTCGTAATCATGGGATCATGGTTTTGGGACGTTGAACACCACACATCAATCAATGATGCACTCGCCGCCGTTTCGCTAGCTTCACATGTACCAAACTCAGTATTACGCGACGGGAACGGACGACGTAGGTAAATGACATATCCAAACGTGTTACATGACACGCATGTCTTGATTATCAGCATGACTACATGCCACTCTGATGATGCGCTCGCGGCTGTTTCACTAGCTTCACATACGCCGAATTCGGTATTACGTGATGCCAATGGATTACGAAGGTATGCGACTGGTGAAAACATGATAATCATGAGATGCATGTCATGTGGGAAGATGACTACATGCCACAGTCAAGGCGCCAATAAATTTCGAAGGCGCTCGGTGTGCGTGTGCGCCAGTGTTCATTTCGTCGTGTCACACCTGTGTTGCCACGCCAGGCGCCGGTCCTGCCATATACTCGCAGGCGCGCGCCGCGCTGCATCGCTTCGACGCATGCGGGTTTCAGCCCGTCTGGCCTCCCTCCCTCACGAAAAGAGACACTCGGTGTTGTCTGGGTAACGCATCGGCGCGAAATGCGCCTTGTCACATTTCGTGCCCTCATTTAGCGCCGGTTGCCATCGGGCCGCGCAGGCGGACGCTGGTCGCGCCTGGTGTCAGACTATAGAGTGGTGGTGGTGGTGAAAAACTTTATTCATCAGAAGGCCAAAAAGTAAAATAATATTTAAAAAATTAAAAAGCAGCGTTGTGGGCGGCCTTTAGGCTGTCGGTTGTGGCGTCCAGGCAGTGCCTAGCCGCGACGTCCTTCGCCCAAGTCACCAGCCGAAGTTGCAGGTCCGGCCTGGTACTGGACAAAGCAGCCCCCCACTGCTGCGAACTTCTGAGGTGCCAAGAGCCAGGGGGCAAATGTGCCGGACAGGAGTAATAGAGTGCTCGTGTTTTGCTAATGTAGCGTCGCTGTGCCCAGCGTGCGCGCACGTCAACGCTACATTGAAGTATATTGGGCCCTTCAGGATGTGCTCGCGGCCATTTTGCTAGCTCCACGTATACCAAATTTGGTGTTACATGATGTCAATGTATGACGAAACATATGACTGGTGCAAACATGATAATCCTGACATGCGTGTCATGTAAGAACATGACAACATACCACGCTCATAGATTGCTCACGGCAATTTTGCTGGCTCCACAGATACTAAATTTGGTATCACGTGACGTGAATAGATGACGAAGGTAAACGACACATCCAAACATGATAATCATGACACTGAAGTCCTCTACAGCATCATTTCCCTCCACCTCTAACGTTGGGCTGATCTTAAAATGACACATCAACTTTTCTTATTCGTGCTTCGCATATAATTGATGCCCACTGTATGTGGGATCTGCCCATTTTTTTCTTTTTAAATGTTTCCTGGGAAACTATATTTCAACAAAACCTTTTAAAAGTATTTTTTTAGTACATGTTTGTTATGAGGACTTGATAGGCCACGGGGTTGGTAAAAAGGTGGTGCACTTCATACCTGGTGATTATCTGTTCAAATCTTTCAAAATGTGTTTCAGTATTGTGTATATTTAGCCACTTGAAATGTGCACTGGTGCCCCCATGTTGATAAAAATTCATCTTTTCAAGCTCCCAGGTCGACATATTAAATGCCACTAACTGCTCCAAAGCAAGGTTTTTGTGCTCCCAAATTGAAATTTTGCTGCTCCAAAAAGTGCTCCCGATTTAAATTAGGCCGTCTCGCCCCTGTAGTATGGACTTGATTATTGTTTGCACAGTGGGGTGGTTCAAAATACTTTCATTGAAATAGCAGTGCTTACCTTCACATTGCATGCTTTAAGTGATGTTGAATGGTTTATACACATCTTATTTTTCTAAATGTCAGCCTTTTTTTACACTGCTCCAAATTCAGTATTTCATGATAGTCATGTTTTTTTCTCTGTAGCCTGCTCAAAATTTAGATTTTCGGGCTCCAAAAGTAACATTTTGCTGCTCCAAAAATTGCTCCTAAGTGTACTTCGGCCGTTGCACCCCTGCTTGAGGCAGCAATGAGTGTACCTTCCTTCAGGCCCGTGCATTGTTGGAGCTGATATGCGGCTCTTGTGAAAACCTAAAATTGTGATTGGTTACAGACTAATCATATTCACAAGTTTCTGGTGAACTGCCATGTATAAGGCGCAGTATGATATATATATTATTTTACATATACGTAAAAGGTACACCCTTGAGACGGTACACCCTTGGCGTTCCGTCTCAAGGGTGTACCTCTAAAGTGCGACTTTATTTCAAAATAAGCCCTTTCTTGGCACAAAAGTAACACTACGAAGTTTCTAGACCGCTATTTGAACAATAAACGTTGACTTAATAGGTGCCTTTATTGTTCCTTTTAACGTCCTTAATTTGGCTATTGCCATGGACAAGTTGGTGTCTCAAACATGCATGAGAAACTTTAAAAAATTTATTGGCTCAATTCTTCGCTTTTCTTTTGCCTTGCCCTGCATATGCCCACGCAATAGTGCAAATGCAGCTTTGCTTTTGTATTAGCATCTCGTCTTTTTGTGTTTGGTAGGTCTGTCTTCGTTCTGCCCATTATAGCACTTTTTCCTACTTCAGCTTGTACAAATTTGCTGTAGTAGCAAGGTTGTTATTCAGTCATTTTTCACAGAATACACATGCATAAGTTTTCACTGGGCAGGGGCATTTGATATCACAAGATGGTTATTATGATGTATACATTATTTTTGAGCATCTTTGTAAATGTTACTAAGCTGAAGAAGTAGCTGTAGCCTGTTTGCTGGTTCTGTGACATACTTCATATACATGCATTGTTTTAGTAAGAACTTCTTCAGTGCATTCATAGTTTGTGCCAAGCTGTTGTGAGCTTACATGGTAACATGGTCTCTGCAGTTGCTGTGAACAGTAGAAAAAAAATGCCCATTTCAATACCAGTGCGAAATGGAAAGTTGCATTGGGCGTGTGTTAATTATTGGTCATCCCATCCATGTCTGCTTCAAGTTGATGTATTAAGGAAAACCAGTTCGCTCTCTTTCACAGCTACTAAATATGTATGTGAGGTTGGCATGCAAGGCTCGCAAAGTTCTTTATTTTTTCTATTTCACAGCTGTCATTGGCATGGTCTCTAGGTGTCTACACTTCACCTATAATTGCAGCTGTCTTATACCGAAGGGGTGAGTTGGAATGCCAACAGGCCTTCATTTTTATCCTTTCCACTAATACTTAGCTGGTGTCTCTTTTTGTGCAAAGTAATTGGCGCATTTTTAAAACATGTGTGTTTTATGTGGCTATATAAATGAGTTTGAATATCCCAAGGGAAGTCGAATGTGTAGCTGTTCTTTTTTACAGCCACTGAAGAAGCCATAGCAATAGATATGACCAGTGTTATCAGTTCTCCATTTGATGGTATCACTTTTTACAGTGAAAGCTGTTACGAGATCACAACACGGATCACGGGCGGCGTCACACTTATCCGCCGCTGCCGGTGTCCGTAACCATTATCGCAAGAAATTAGAAAAAGAAAATCGAATAAAAAAACATCAAAGGACATAGTGGGATTCGAACACGGGATCACTGTGTGCCAGCCTAGTATTCTGCGGCTGAGCCACGCCGGTGCTTGGGACTCGTTCGTAAACTTGCCCTAGGCAGGCTTGATGTCAAGAAAGGAATCGCGGTAATATGAGTAATAAAGCATTTTAGAACAGCAAAGGAACATCCAGGCGTCATACAATGTGAATTGCATAACGATTGGGCCGTACAATGCTCCAACCCATAACAAAAGGTTGTTCTTCATCTCCTGTTAACTGTGGCGCATACCCACTCAGGCGTAATTCATCTTCATCATCCACTGCATGAAACACGAAATTTGCACAAAATTTGTTGCAAGTGTTCATGCTTGTAGCAGTTACTCGGAGCATTAAGAAAAGGCTCTGAAAGGCCGCTCTTCGATGGCGTAGTGGGTACCCATCCAGTGTGTTTCTTGCATATACCCAAACAGTGTTTAGAAAAGGCTCTGAAAGGCCGCTTTTCCAGCTTTCGCTGTGACTATGCTGCACGTTCCGCGCAGGCCTGGCGATTTTTGTTCGATTCCTTTTCCGAGGTTTTATTGTACTACCACTGTGCAGTTTTTGTTGCTTTTGAGATTTGTCCTACATTTGGATATTTTTATAGTACGGAGTCTGATGAAAAGCATCTGTCGAAAGTGAGAAGCTTTTGTGTCTAGTCACGTTGTTTAGCACGGGTACTGACTTCAGAAATACTTAGCCAATAATGTCCTCAACCAATAATGCATAATTTGCTTATTATTATAGAACCTCCTGTAACCATGGTCAATTAAAGAGCAGAATTAGTGCAATTTAAACAGTTATTGCTTTATCCAAAGCCAAGGAGATTTATCGCATTTAAAATTTCAAGAAATTATTGACTTCATTGTGGTTGTGCATGTCCAAGCTTGTAGCATGGAGTATTTTAGATAACGCTATGACAACAGTGAGTAGTTTGGTTGTGGAATTTTTGATATTTGTTCATTTTAAATATGTATTCACAATTTCAATAAATTCAACAAGTGATAAAAGGTGCTATTCCTTTTGTGGCAAGTTTCAGGAAACTTCTAAATTTCATTGCATGTGATATTACAAAAGATCTTTGTTTGGATGTCTGAGGGTCTAAATTTAAAAACTTGTTTTTCATGCAGTCGACATTCCTTCATTTCACCCTGAAGGAACTATGCAAATTGGTAAAATTAACTTGGAGGTTCAATTGAGCAAGAGGCAGAAAAAAAAAACATACTGCTGGCTCATTTGGCACTATTTTCTCAGAATATAACATGTCCCGGGATTCTACACATGTCCAGATTTCATGAATTCGTATTCAGTCTTATTATTTGGAAGTCTAAATAAAAAGAAGGTATATAAAAATCGGCTGCCTTAAAAAGTGACTTGGTGATTGATCAGTATATGTACTGTCTTTGCTACTGGATTTGGAATGTATGTTTTGAAGCAGACAAAAAAGAAAATTAATATTGCTTTAGTACAACCAATATTGTTTCAAATCTGGCATATTTATTTTCTTAAAGTGGTAGAACACTATCGAATTGAAGTAGGATCGATCAACCTAATATTGTTTTTCATGTATATTTGATAATTTGTTATATCCTTGTTTGACCATGTGTGTGTGTGCAGATATAACACTGAGTGTTATCCTTTGTATGTGCAGGTTATGTCACGTTTGAAGGAGTGTACGCGTTGACAAGGCTGGCAGGTGTCATATGCGTGGTCATGGTTGGCACCATTTGTTTGAGAGGTAAGGCGATTTTTTTTCAAGCTGTTGCTGCTGAAAAAAGTGCTTGTAAAAAGCCGAGTTCAGGGAGCCCACTTTTCTGGAATTCTAATCAGTTTATAATTTTTAATTTAGCTTTTGAAACATTAGACTAAAAGTGTTTGGAGAGATTATTTCATGTACATAAAAAGCATAGATTGACAAAATTTATGGGTGCCCATACAGCAGTCTCCAGCATTCTTCTTGCCTTATGATCATATCAATCGTTCAAGATAGTCTTGCATCTGTGAACCTTGCATTTGCTGTTGTAATCAAGGTCAAATTATTTGTGTGAGTTTTTATAAAGACTCACTCAAATCTTTACAAGGTACTCGGCTAATAGGTTCAACTATAAATTAGCAGCTACGTCTGAACCTTCACCTAGACTCTCAAATTATGACCCTTGTAAAAGTCTGTGCAGTTTTTAAGGCTTTTCTCCCATCTTCTAATGCATTTATGCTCATTAGTTTACATGGACAGTGAGAAAAGTGGAAATTTTCAATCAGTACTGCTCTCAAGAGAACCTTGTGGGTGTGTGCTCATTTTTCCTGCATAAGTAGCTGCATTGTGTGTGTAGTTTATGGAAACCTTCTTCTAAAAAGCACACCCATCGACCAATCATTTGCAAAGTGACAACTTGGCTTTTTTTTCATAGGCAGCTTTGCACATGGAATTTAGGGTAATTTTCTTTTTTTTTACATGGCTCTTGTCATAGGTTGTATAAATTTCAACTGTTAATTTTTTGTTCAGGCATTGGACGTATTGCCAGTTCAGACTATGGCCAGTTCTTGCGAGCTCTCCAGGCCGCTCAGCAAAATCTGAGCAAGGAGTCAAAGGTAAGTCTTTCAGTCATCTTCACTGTATTGCAAGAAATTGGTTCTTGGACATGTAGACTTCTTTTCTTTTCCTTCATTTTTTCAGGCTGAGCTAGCCAAATATGACAGTGAGTTCTATGCCTGGCCCATTGACTTTCGTTGGAATGACCCACTTGTGTAAGCATTTTTTTTTTTCTGGTGTAATTACACTTGTGTGTACACCTCTATGTGCTCTTTCTTTGTGTGAGCTATTAAAAAGAAAAGCTCAAAGCATAGTCTGCGATGCATGGATATTCGTGCCTACTTGGAAAGTTTTAGTTGCGAAGCAGCTTGTAACTACGAAGCGGCTGGGTTCGGGGAACGAGATTCTGCAGACTCCTTATGAACCAACGCGTTGTATTCTAGTCGGAATGCGCTGGCATGTGCTAGTGCGTTCGGGCTTGTGTAAGAGGCTGTGGCGTCTTCCCCTTACACTTTCTCAGCAATCACGTGATGGTATTATGGAACGAGATTCTGCAGAGCGCAATGAACGCATGTGCTTCTGCGTGGCGTGGCAATTAACCCGCATGGCGTGCTCTAACAATTGTTTGGGACAAGCAACAGCAACATAAACTGCACTGAATTCATGGTGTGCTCCACTTGCTAGGACGGGTTAAAATTGGGCACGATGCCTGTGATGAACACAACTTAAAAGTAAAAGTCTACCAATGCAGTGCTTCGCATGCTACTAATGGTTCCCTTTAGTAGGAGATGGTGCCATTTTTCATGGTCTTATTGGTGGCTGAAATAACCTTAAACATGAAATGTTTTATAGATTGTGCTATTTAACCCCTTTATAAGAAACACTGTTGTAAGAAACAAATGGGTATAAGAGACAGACTAGTGTGTGGCTGCATTGAAATAGGGGTTCTTAAAAAAACGCATACATGGTGCCCTGCTTATGAGACACCAATATAGAAGACCAAAATTACTGCACAGTGCATGTCTCCTATAAAGAGTTTCAACTGGGATTTTTATTGAATTTAGTTTTTCTTTTAAATAGATGGAAAAAAGAGTTTGCATGCGTACTGGAGCTTCTCTTTTGTAATGGAAGAAAAACTCAAGTTCCTCATGAAGTCGTACTGTATGGCATTAGTGTGACAACAAACCTTTGGTTAATGAAGTTTTATGGAAAATGTGCAGGGAATGTTAGTCTATAACTATTAAGTTATGAAAGATCTAGCATTTGGAAAAAATTTAATGCATGCATTTCATTGTTCTCAAAGGCTCAGATAGCCACAACCACTCCTAAAGTAGCCCTGAAGGCTTGCTGCCTGCTCACTTAGGCCTCTGTGTACTTTTACTGCGACAGGATATGGTGTGTGAACATGTGTAAATAATGTGCACGTGCCTTACTTGCCAAGTTTCTCAGAATATTCGGGAGGCTCTCGAATTTGTACATTTCTTACGTTTGTACGGTTGTCATGAAAATCTCCTGGAAATCGAAATTTCTGTGTGGGACCTGGCCGAATCGGCAAAAATGCTGGCCAATCCTATCCAAACCTTTTGCTAACCCATTGCATTTATGCGAAACTGTCAGATACGAATTCGCGAAATTTCCCAGCCAAATCCACTCTGTCCATTTGGACCAAAATTCGTATGCTCTGAACACTTTCCTCATCGCAGCGGATGATATGAACTGTAGTTTCGAAATCTTCAAACGATGCCCGAGAGCAGCGTGCTCAAACTTCGTAAGTACTACGCGTGCGGCTAGCGCACACGCTGTCTTTTGTGTGGTTGTCGTATGCCACATCCACTGTGGTCCAAACCGTGGTTGCTCTTGACATGATCATGTATGGCGACGACGTGAATGGCAGAACTTGGAAAGTGTGCTCGCATCCAGTGCTTGACCAGTTAGTGATGCTGCTTTCCGCAAACGTTGCGGACAAAACTCAGCTGAGTAGCACACGGGGATTGAAAACAAAACTACCGTTTGCCACTGCTGCTGCGTACGAAACCACTGTCACTGCGATGCCATAGCGATCTAGAAGCTCCAAGGGCGCGCGGCTAACGCAGAAGTTGCTTAAAGGCAATAAAGACTTACAGAAGGCTAGAAGTGTTTTGGCGTTCCTGTCTGAAGAATCTAGTAACGTAGCCCCATGCTTTCGGGACAGCCAGCTGCTTCATCCCCTTCGTTCACACGTGTCCTAGGAAGACATAGGTCAGTGGTTTTGACAGGTATGATTTTGTTGTTTCGATCACGTGCAGTTTTGGCAGTGAATTGTGCTCCCCCTTTGAGGCTCGACTATCACCTTAGTTGGTAAACCCTACCCTCGTGTGTTCGGCCACTCCAAGCCATTATAAGACTACAACGCCGATGTTTACGCTTGCGAAGCTGTACGGACTTCCCCCCCCTCCCCCCACACCTGGTTTTCGTTTTTTTTTCTATGCTTTTTTTGGGGGGGCAAAAGCAAGAAACAAATAAATCTGTGCGAGCCACCCCCTCTCCCCCACCATCGGTGATCCCACTCCTGCGCCAAAATGCGCCAAATCGTATTTACTGTGCCATCCTGAAAATATCGACGGAAATTGCACCAAGCTGTGCCAAAGTCGGATTTGAGAGAGTCTATCACCGACAATAGCCATGCTGGCGTGTCAATACATGTGCACCTTGTTCTCAGGGCCACCAAAGTCACAATCACGTACCTATTTAATTTCGCTGAATAAACTGCAGTCGTGCGTGCTACCTAAAATCCATGATGCTATGTTTGGTGCCAAAGCTACTCTGTCGTGCAAGTCCGCTTCACGACGAAATGCATTCTCCGCAGGAGCTCATGACGTCCAGTACAATTGTTAGCGTGAAACTGTGGCGATGATTCATCAGCGAACGTCGTCCATTTCGGGAACGCTGTTGATAGTTAGTTTGAAGAGTTGCGCAGCATGTAATAAAGCAATTTTCACTAATAACTGCACGCGTGTCACCAGAATGTCAGTCACGTCTATGTCTGGAAATCACGATCAGAGTTTTTTGTGCTTCACGTCCACAGAAGAATACGTAAATGGTGGGAATGCGTTGACACCTTTCCTCTGATATATTTTATGCATGGATCATCATACAAAAGAGCTTTTTCGCAATTTCTTCCACCAGCAGATCCGCGTTTATAATCGCTTTGGCAGTAAAAGCCCCCTAAATGACCCTGTTCTTTCGAACTCAAGGTTGCTAGAGTCCAAATTGAAAATCCTCGCGTGCTTTCGTTTATAAATATCATCTTGTTTACAAAAGCATGCCTCCTGGTCGGAGAAGCCGAAGTTCGGTTTTAATACGCGCAGCTGTAATGAGGCCATCGCTCGCGGCTCTAGTGTCGGAAGGTCTGTGAAGCGGCTACGCCTTGTTACACGTCTACTTCTCGCTTTCCTGGGTCAATAGCTGACTGTTAAAAAAAAAATTGACATCTCGGCATCACATTTATTGCTTTGTATTGAAGGGAGGGGTGAAGGGGAGACTGCTGTATCGCTTGAAGTATCTTGCGCGCGCTATGTCGAGGCATAATGAGACAGCTTGTTAACTTTCTGTGCTACTAACATTTGCTTCACGTTTAGATAACCGACTGCACGAAAGCTTCAGCAATTTCCCTTTTAGCCAGCGTTCTTTTGAGTTGCGCGATGTTAGATCTAAAATAAAATACAATTTGTTAATTTCACTTACGCTCTTAGGAGTGAATGCGATACTAACAAATTGTATTGTTATACCAAAAAAATAAGGCTTGACGTCATCTGTGAGAACCGCTAGCAGCAAGGTTGCCATTTCTAAGGTCCGCGCACTCGCAAAAACTTGCAGCACGCGCGGTGTTCGATATTCGTGACTTGGGTGACTAGAGGCCCCCAAAACATCTCTTCCATGTCGATGCACGTACAGATGGAACAGACTTGTCTAGAGTGCCCAGCCGGCCGCTCCAGCTGGCATTTTCAGAAATATGCCAAGAGAGACACTGTACTGCGTGTTAGGCCCTTGTGCTGTAATGTAAGCATCAACAAAAGCTTGTAGCTAACATGAGATAGAAGCCGCGGCTAGCAACAGTGTCAACAGGCAAGCGCTCTGCTGCTCTATACCAGTGTGATTCTATTTGCACAGCACGTACGAATGGACCTTTGAAATGGCACGACAATGGTGTGGCCGCCTTGCAATCGAGCCTCAGTGCATACCCTTATATGGCCACTCTAGGAAGCGAAGCACTTTTTGCAGAGTACAGGTATTGGCAAGGTATAGGTATTGGTAAGAGTACAGGTATTGCTAAGGTATAGAAGGGTATACCAGTCGTAAATAGCGCGTGCATCAAAGATCACACCCATAAAGTCAAAGCTCATAATAACCCCCCCCCCCCCCCCCCCCCATCGCGTTCCTAGCTCTATCCTTCCTGTGCCTTGGACAGGGGCGCATTTCTTTACTTGAGTAGTAATCGATGACGGCCTGTCACGTGGGGTGATGTTATCGCATCCGCGCTCAGTGCAAAGTAGATAAGTCCGCTCTTCTTATCTCTGCTTTAGCTGCGTTCGTCACCCCCGCTCCCGCGCTTTTACCCGCAAGTAAAACACATGATGCACGGGAGCATGTTATCGAGCGATGTCTGGAAAGCAGTCACGTTAATACAACTTCAAAGCGTTTTAAAACGGCGAAAGAACATCAGTCGTCGCACAATGCGAACAGCATGACAAGTGGGCCGTCCAATGCTCCAACCCATTATAAAAGCTTCTTCTCGTTCTCCTATTAACTGTGGCGCATACCCACTTCAGCATAATTTCTCATTGTCGTCAGCTACTGCATGAATCATTGGCAGGAAATTCCTTGCAAGTGTTTAGCGGATGCCACGCTTTTCAAAATAATGACAAAAAATAGCATAACGAATGCTGGCCTACTACCCAAAAGTTTATTATTGATGCCCTAGTGAGTATCAAGCAAGTGTGCTTGCAGTAGTTACCCAATGAGTGTTTTGAAAAGGCTCTGAAAGGCCGCTCTCCTAGCTTTTGCTGCAACTGTGCTGCGCCTTCCACGTAGGCCTGGCGTTTTTTTGGAGTGTAGACAGAACGTCCTAGTCACATAAACTATTGCTGCAAAAGGAAAATGAAGTTTGTTAAATTGCGTAGTTTCAGCACAGAGATTATAGCTCGAGGAGGTTGGCTTTCTGAGACTAACTGAATGACGTCATATTACGGCCAGCAGTCTAATCAGTTGTGAATAAAAAGAACCTTTTTTTTATTCTTGAAGTCATCGTAGGGAAATGCACTTGGGACTGCGTGAGTCTCTAGCACTGTAAGTGACAGCTTATGTCTATTATATCAGCTGATAACCAAATGGGTTTATTTATATTGTTATTTCATGAAGTACAATTTTATTCACCAGTATTTTAATTTATTTGCTACTGAAATAATCACCGAACAAGTTTTTCAGAATGCTCAACAGCATGATGCCAGTATTTTTGCATAATCAACTAAGATAGGGAGTGCTTTTAAGATGATTGGCTCCACAAAATTTTCAATGAATATAAATATTTATAACTCTTTACAAGAGCACCAGAATAATTTTTAATTTCTTTGATTGTGCATGCAACTTGCTTCTCCTTCATATGTTGAAGTTAGCTGCTCCAGATTGCTCCAAAATGGAAACTTCTGCTGCTTCAAAGTGCTCCAAGTTAGAAAATTTTGCTTCTACAAAGTGCTCCAAATCGGAAGACCTCGGTTGCATCACTGCGCTCTTGTTGCGGAAATCTCCGGAATTTAGAATTCTTGAACTTGGCATGTAGGACATGCTTATATCTTGTGATATTGACCACTTTGCATCACTGAAATATACATATGCTTCACTGCTTGACATTGCTGCATTGCGATGAGGCTGTTATTAGAAATCGGCATTGTGTAGTACTTTTGGGCCCCTGTCGGGATTTTTGCACATCCTTAGTAATAGTTTAGTAGCTTGTTCGTTGCTCTGCTTATGTCCAGGGCGCGAGTTTTATAGTGGCCGCAATAAGGCCTGTTCTGGGGAAAGTCTCGTCACAATTCCTTCTACAAATGTGTTTAAATTTAAACGTTATTTAAATTGATGTTTTGTTAATGCAGGCAGTGAGCACAAGTATTCCGCCTGTATTCATTAAAAGTTTCGTTGCGGCACTAGCTCTACCAAATTATGTGAAGAGAAGACTGGTCCCTTCAACTATCCTGCTCCAAAAGATGTACCAAGCTCGTGCCAAGCTAGTGTAAAAGCTACCTTCCCATTAAAATTGAAGCAAAAACCCACAGTGCACTATTACAACCATCATGGAGATTAGGGCAACAGAAAGCTGAGCTAGTTAAGGATTCATCTTAAAAGTATTTAAGGTGTGTTAACAGAGACACAAGAGGAGAGAACAAGCCGAAGTCGAAGACTCATTGTCACTGAAAGGGCACACTGTGGTGGACAAGAAAATTCTAGATACAATTTATCTGCACGTGTGGAGGTATAATAGCCCACCTGTCAATTCGACACACCTTCTTTTATTATCGTGGAGGTCAGCTGAGCCGCCATGTGTTGAATTACAATGGTAGATATAGGGCAGCTGACTCAATCAGCAAGTGAACACCCATCTCTAGCTTAGAGGAATGCCTTTTGATATGTAATTGGAATCATTAGGACATAGTCAATGGCCATTAGAACATAGTCGAGGGCCGCTGGAGCAAAGCAGGCGAGGGCGTTCTTACTATTGAATGATATGTGGGGTTTAACGTCCCAAAACCATCATATGATTATGAGAGATGCCGATCGAATGCAGGCTGAACATCCTGTTGGGTGACCACTTGGAAGCAGCAGTGTCAGCATCACTGTTCGTGTTTTGGAGTCATTGCACAGATCAGAACTTCAGCCTTACAACTTTGATGTCACTGTTCAGTAGGAAAAGCAATGTCTGGATAATATTTCGTTATCAGTGGTAACTTTCTAAGTAGACCCTACATGGTCAAAATAGCAGTTGCTGTGGTTGTAGTTTCAACAGCTGTCGCATCGCGTGACACAGTTATGCTGAACAAACTACATATTATAAGAAACATCTGCATGTTTTCACTTTTACTGAGTCACACCTGCCAATCCTCCCGAATTTCCCTGGAGTCTCCCAATTTCCTACGTGCTTTCCTGATTGTATGATCACGGTCATAAATTCCCCCGATAAACTGCAATTCAACTTTGAAAGAAAAAAAAGAAAAATGCAGTAAATTGAAAACCGGTACTTAAAACACTAACTTGTCAATAGGAACACAAAATAAAAGGGAATGTTCACGCAGCACGAAAGTTAGCTGGCTGCTTCTGTTTTCCATCATTTGCTGGGCTGTCTTTTGACTGGAAACACACAAACATGCACAAACCCCAATGGCTCGCAACACACTCCACTAATGGGCAGGCTTTGATTCTAGACGATACTTGAACCAGGAGAGGTATTCTATTAAAATTAACATACCTCAGTTCTCAGTTAGTAACTTTTATTGAGAGTGCTAGATTGGTTTGCATGAAGCTGGCCCTACTATATATTTGTTGACAACTCTACCAGTCAAAATTGAGATTGTATAGTCTACATATGTGCAGTGCATCTGAAAAAGTCCATACTGCTGCGCGCACTCGACGTCTTGCTTTTACCAAAATCCATGCCGAAAGGTCCCTACTGATGTTCCACTACTGCCATAGTAGTTACCTACGAGTGCTGGTAGCATTGCCGTGGTTTCTTATGTCATTGAAAACAACAAAAAATTAATGCATATAATGCCCACACACAAAATAAAGAGAAGCGTACAAGTCCATTTCGGGCCTATTCTACATTATACTAAGCACAGTAAGCCAGAAAGTGTAAAGTAATACTGTGAATATACATATGCCTTCTTGCCTTTGATAGGGACAAGAGCAAACCTCGTGTTGAAGTAGAACGCCAGCCTTCAAACCAAGGAAGCTTTTTTGCAAGCTTGCGGGCTTTGCCATGTGAAATACTGAGGTAAGCTTCACTTATGCATTTCAGTATGGCTATCTGAGAGTGACCAGCAGCTTTGTTCTGCATGTACTTTTAGAACGCCCTGCTGTAGCTTTTGACGTAGTCATGGAACTCCTATAGGAGTTATAAGAGTTAAACGCCTTGCGAATCTTGTTTTTAGTCGAAAACAGCTCTAAAAAACTAGAGGAAGATGTTTAATAACACAAACCACAGCGCTGACCAGTAACAACCAAGTGTGTTTTATTCATTCAGTCCAGGTAGACATACTCCACCACAACCTCAAGAAAAGAGGTGGTTAGCCTGCACAAAGGCAAAAAAAAATGTTTTTTTTGCCTTTGGCAAAAAATTTTTTTTATTTTTGTTTCCTTCAGATTGTGGTGGAGTATGTACCGTATATACTCGTGTAAGGGCCGCCCTCGTGTAAGGGCCGCACCCCAACTTTGAAAGCGGATATTTCGAAAAAAAAAAAACAAAAGTTCAAAATGTCCCGCCAGAAAAGTGTAGTTAGTTCATTTACAGCCAGATGGCGCTGCACGCTTTTCCGCTTTTATTCTACTTCCGCCGACGCGCCGACCACGCTGTTGACAGCGCGCCGCCATATTTGCCTTGTGCGGCCTCTTTGTTGGCATCGTTCCTAGCATCGTGTCGATACGTTGGCAGCGCGACTTCAGATCGGTGTCGTCGGTGTCACTTTGTTGGTTGTAGTGAACCCTGCAGAAGCCAGCGCACGTGACGGACGATGGGCCGGCATCTGAGATCATTCACTGCAGCATTTAAGCTGCAAGTGATTGACTATGCCGAGGAGCACGGGAAGCGGGAAGCTGGACGAAAGTACGACGTCGATGAGAAGCGCGTGCGTTACTGGATGAATCAGAAAGATGCCCTCGCCGCTACTAACAGGAGCCGAAAGGCGTTTCGCGGGAAAAAGTGCAAGTACCCGCAACTCGAAAGCGAGCTCGTCAACTACGTCGTCGACACACGAAGGGACGGCTACGCCGTATCGACTGACATGATACGCGTCAAAGCCCTCAGCATCGCTCGCCACATGGAAATACCCCCGGCACAATTCAAGGCAAGTCGGGGCTGGGCTACGCGGTTTATGAACCGTAACCAGCTTTCTATTCGGCGCCGAACGACGATTTGCCAAAAACTGCCGCGCGAGTACGAAGACCACGTCATTAAGTTTCATCGCTTCGTGAATGCTCTCAGGAGGGAGCATGAATACGACCTGTCCCAAATTGGGAATGCGGACCAGACACCTGTGTGGTTCGATGCACCGGAAAGCACCACAGTGGATTTAAAAGGTGCGAAAAGTGTGTCTGTGCGCACGACTGGTGCAGAACGCCAAAGGTGCACTGTGATGTTGTGCATCACGGCAGACGGCAGGAGGCTTCCGCCGTACGTCGTATTTAAAAGGAAGACTCTCCCAAAAGAGAAGTTCCCTCAGGGAATCGTCGTACGTGCGCAAGAGAAGGGCTGGATGTCCGAGGAACTGGTCGTTGACTGGATTAAGACCGTCTGGGCAAACAGACCTGGAGGGCTGTTACAACGGAAAGCCCTCCTTGTTTTGGACAGCTTTAGGGGCCACTTGACCGACCGCGTCAAGAACCGAGTTGCCGCAACTCGTACGGACTTGGCCGTCATTCCCGGTGGCCTGACGAGTGTGCTGCAGCCGCTCGACGTATGCGTCAACAGACCATTCAAAGTGGAATTTCGCCGATGTTACTCTGAATGGATGGCTGGAGGCGTCCACGAGAAGACCCCTACAGGACGGCTGAAGCGGGCGTCGCTCCAACAGGTGTGTGAATGGATTTTGAATGCGTGGCGTGCCATGTCAGTAGAAGTAGTTGCTAAAAGCTTCAAGGTAACGGGAATTTCGAACTCCATGAACGGCACCGAAGATGACCGTCTCTGGGAAGACGCGGACGCCGAGGCGAGCTCCTCCGAGAACGAGGACAGCGAAATGGAATCCGAATAAAAACATTTCTGGCATGTCATTTGTGACTCTTGCACTCTGCTACTGTTGCATAAACAGTACAGACCTTTGGCCTGTACTGCCTGTACTAAATCGGCCTGATTCGTGTAAGGGCCGCACCTAGCAAAATTTTCGAAAAAAAAGTGCGGCCCTTACACGAGTATATACGGTATATGTGGACTGGAAGAATGAAACACACGTTTTTCAGTGATGTGGTTGAAGTGTATTGTTCGTCCCATATTTAGCATTGTTTTCTACTGGAAATCATGAACCAACCAGCCCAAATGCGTGCCCTACTGCGAATATATTGCCGCAAAAAAATCTTTTCATGCATCAAGTATCGGTGGAGTAACAAGGTCTTGTGTAAGCTCGGAGTGCTTTCTCTCTGTCATCCTCATGGAAGCTACACAGGAAGGAATCGCAAGCAGGTAGCTACATATATTTGTAGGTGTTGTGGCCTTGCACATTCTGGAAAAGCCAGGCGGTACTTCTGCATCACAACAACAGCTGTTGTGCGCAAGTCTGGCCGAGCTTAGCAAGAAGCTGATGCACACTGGCTCCGTTCTTTGTCGGCTTAACTCGCTGAATAGCAGCGAAATCCAGATAGCTTATTTTGAAGCGATTTTGTTAGATAAAACACCAAGCACTACCTGACAAGGTGCATAGCCTATGAGGCGCACAAGAAAGAGCAAGTGTGTACTGGAAAGCGCACCTTGGAAATGATGTACAGAGGTAGTTACTGTCGCACCAAGCTCGCCAAAAGGTGAACGTCCGACTCGAGATTGTATTGTTTCATGTAGCTAAGAGGCAGCATGCCTTGTACTTCGCTGCACATGCTTAGGCAAAAACATAGTCATTCAAGACTAGAGGCGCTCAAAAGAAGATACTTTTTTGGTGTTTTCAGTAACTTTTAGAAAATAAGACATTCAAATTTCTTTAATTATTGAACTTAGTATTATCAATAAAAGTGTTACTAAGTATATTTTCGTTATCATGTAATCGGCCTGTGTCTGTGTTCACTGCGACTAGGTATATTCCTTTGACGTCTGTAATTTTCCAAGAGAACAAGGGATTTTTTTAGCTGTCTTTTTAGTGAGACTGTGAATTGCAGGGCAGTGCTAACTGTATTTACTCGTGCAAAGAACCCATCTTTATTTTATTTTCATTATTTTTTTTTCAGGAAAGTTGACACCAATTTGGGGAGAGGGTTCATTACGTGGGAGAAAAAAAATTACATGGCAGTTATAACAGCGAAAAAACTGATTGTTTTGGTCCTAAAAGTACGCGACGGAACGTTTTTTTGTAGCCCGGAGCTTTTTCTCCCGTAATGAATGCGCACAGATCGACGTCAAAGTGTGATTTCAACTGCATGCTCGACTAACTTTAAGTTAGAAACCGGCCAATCGTGCCCTGCTTGGCAGATGTGCAACAAAGTTCACTACAACAACCAACATCAAGAGCTCAGCATCGAATGGCAGCACAGGCACGTTGCCGCCTTGCGAGTGAACTGCGTGGTTGTGCTTTGTTTTTTGCTTTGTTTTCACGCCGCTGTATTTGCGCCGCACTATAAGCAGAGAGGTTTCCTCTGCATTAGACAGATGGTGCTACGCTTCAGACTTTTAAATTTTTATTGAAATCGTTTAGCATGGTTGTGACACTGTTTTTACTTTAATTGCATCATTTCTTCAATGACATGATTTAACATTGTTTGGATCGTCAACGGCGCTGGCTATGTCACTGAAATAGAATGAGCAGATACATGGAAAAGTAATCTTTTTTTTTGTAGGACCAAGGTGGGGAGTGGATTCATCATGCAAGTGTGTTCATTACGCGAGTCAATACGGTATTTGGCTCACATGTCAAAAGAAGCCACGACTTCTAATTAGCAGCATTGTTTATGTTCTGAAAATGTTGCTAGGCCCCTTAAACTTGATACAGGCTTCTATGGTTAAGCTATGTACTATCACAATTGAAACAGGGAATTCGTGCTTATTCAACAATTACCATTTGCCATGTGTGCACATGAATGCAATGTATTAGTAATGTGTGGCCGTAAATGCGATGTTTTTAATTGCCATAGATGCCACTAAATTTGAGAATTTAGTGTCGTGAACCCTTTTGTGCGTTTTCCAACTTTGTTTAGGCTTATAACCTCTAAAGGTAATTTGAGTGTTCCAGTCCATATTGCTCTCAAATTTGCATACATAGCGTGTTTTATGTATTTGGGGAACTATGGCATATGTCTATCACTACATTATGATAGAGACAAAACAGGCTTGTTCCTAAAGTAGTGATTACTTTTATTGGGAATATTTGAACCTAATATATAGTGATTCCCCTAATTTTTCAATCTGATGTGTTATGAAAGCAGAAGCTTTTCTGTTGAAAATATACCCTTATTGAACACTTTAATCAGAGATGTGTATATTTATTAACCTCTAGCATCTGGTGAAAGCTGTTCTAGTGTACCTTTTTTTTTTTATTATGTTTTTCCTAGTATGGGTAGGTTGCATAAAAATGAATCATTGTGAGTAGCTTAAGTCATTGTTGATTTCTCAAGGAACATAAAATAAAACCTCCCAATTTCATTTTCAGCTACATTGCAGTGCACACTTTTGGTCGAAGGATGATGTATCCTGGAACAGTCAAACTTCTGCAGGCTGCAGTTGGTATGCGGTTTCTTATTTTACTTGATACTTTAGGAGTTGTTCGCAGCCTCATTTCATTTATTGGTTTGCATACAGCTTGCACATTACCATTCATGTGAACACATCAGAAGCTCCTTTCTTAAATAGTTTATGGTGCCAATTTATATAGCCTGGTGCCTAAAAGCTCTGCTCCCTGGTGTGTGTGCTTGTTTTGTTGAGTGGCAATGTTTTTTTAAATATTATTTTCTATGTAAAGTGCGTGGAATAGTCTCATTTGCCTTGAATCATTGCATTTCTTGTTTTTAATGCATATTCCCATCTTAAAAGAGGCAAAATCTGTTGCTCGAGGTGTTTTAATTTTCTGAGTAAGTACTGGAGCAAGAATGTATATACAATTAAAGTTGCCTATAACGAACCTCCATATTACGAATTCTTCGATATAAAGTAGCTTTTCTATTCTCTGCCGTTTCTCCATAGAAGTACATGTATTTGTGACCTCTTTGTAACAAAGTAGCTGAGGGGGACAACCTTGATATAACCAATTTCCCACATAGACAATCTAGAAATTTCGCTCCAGATTTTGGTACGAGCATGCATCTTCTGCGGAAGTCCCGCTGCCGACGAAGCGCGAAGCAGCAGTAACACGCACAACGCAGCAGGCAAGAGCGAGCGCTCGTAACTGCGCACGGGTGAGTGCGAGGCGGGCAGGCGGGCTTGCGCCCCACGAGCCAGGTTGCCGTTATCCTTGTGGGCGCATGCGCGGAGTGCCTCTTCTCTCTCCAAACCAAAAAGAAAAAAAGCTCGCAGCATATCCACGAAGTGAATGATGATGAGTGTGGCAAATTGTCAGTCCGTCTGTCTGTTTGTCTGTCTGGCCAGTTACGCCTGACGCAGGACAAGGTTAGACTTTTTAGTTATCTTCTTGGGGGCGAAGCCCCTCAAAAGATAGCTGCTTTTGCATTTGCAGTGCCATGCTTTTAGTTAGCGTCACATATGTGGGGCCGTGCTGCAGATGGAGGGCGCTTTACTGAATAGTTTGTCACAGTATCTGTGTGTGTGTCCATGTCATTCGCTTTTAGTTTTCTTCTCCGTGCACGCAAGCATGGTCTCGCCGCGCTCGCATGGTGTTGCCCCTGACGACGTTCAGCATTGCTTTTTCTTTTTTCAATGCGGACAACAGTGTCGTCACCACAGAGGGAACATTAGAATAGGCACTGATATAAACTCTCAGAGACCACTGATGATGAAGCTGCAGAGATTGACTCGTCATGCGCTTACGTCTTGTGCTGCGCTGATAGTTCGCAGGCTGGCAACTTTCGCGATTAGCTGATTAGTTCTGGTAACAACACCACAGCGTATTGAATGCAATGCAGTGAATGTGATACCAAAAAATTGCAATGTTATACCATGTAAGGCTGTCGGCCAACTCTTTTTGATTCGATATCGCAGAACTCCTACAAAACGCTGATGTGAGCAAATACGGCCGCTCCAGGGAGAAGTGCTCTTTTCACACAGTTCCTTCGCGTTGAGAGCGCCCTGATGTACTTGCAGAGATAGCAAGCGCGTCGGTGGTCGCGACCGTCCTTAAAATCTAAGTGCGTTGTTAGTACTTGAGCGATTCCCCCCCCCCCCACCCTCTCTTCCCCCAGATTTTTTGATGCTCGTTCAAGACAGGTGGTTTCCACTCTGAGCATTCGACGTCATTTCTAACACGCAGGGGATGTTATCTTAAGCGCCTTCCAGGCAATAGAGATGGGCTGACTCATTCGATCTCTGCTTCAGCAGCGCTCGCGCGCTTTTACCCACTCATGAAAGTTCTGGTGCGCGGGGGCATGCTATTAATTTAGACTGGTTACGGAACATGGCGTCAACGGCATAAACCTGCCGACAGTGTAATTGCTATCGCAATATTTATTTATTTATTTATTAGAATACCCTCAGGGCCCGTAGGGAATTACAGAGGGGGTGGGTACAACATATATAACACACAAGAAAAAAAGACAAAATAAAGAAATAGTAACAATTTTTCACCGCTAAATAAGTGTTTTGGCCTAGCTCGGCCCTTAGTCTCCCTTTTGTTTAACTCGTGCATCTATATTGCAAATTTTCGTACCAAGCCTGCATATAACGAAACCCTTTTATAACGAATCTGTTTGGGGAATTTATCAATTTTTTTTATATACAGGTTTAACTGTACAGTAAAAGCTCCATAATTTGGATTTCATCAGACAAGAAGGCGTATTCGAATCATCCTAATGCCATAATAATGACTTTCAAGGTGATGGTAAATGTGTGTCTATGACATCAATGCATCTTCATTTACTTGATGCAAATACAAAACTTATTTCACATGAAAGTGGTGTAAAAATTAAAATTTTAGAAATTTCTGACTGTTCACAAAGTGACCGCAGCTCAAGGTCACGTTGTCTTAAGCTGAAACGTGCTCTGAACGTATTCCTTATTACGTACAGCCACCACTAATACTACTAAGTGCACGGAACAACAACTTTTTCAGCAAAAAAAAAAATGCCCGGTAACCGATCTTTTGTCCATCACAATGTAACTTATGAGCTTTATGCCAGTATTTTGGACCATGGCTGAAAATAATTTTCAACATCTTCTACCATGTTTCAGTTTTGTCACATTGTGCACATTCCCCAAAGTAAAAAAAAGATACCGTGTGCCGCACTCGCTGTGCATAAAAAATTGGGGACCCCTAAGCTTCGCCTTTAAGAGTTGAATGCGATAGCTAAATCCGGCTCCTAGTGTGCCCTTTAACCGCTAAGTGCATACTTATTAATGTGTTTTGTAGCACACGCACACACATGTGCCCATGCGCAAGCACGAGGTATCTGTAATAATGCAATGACTGTGCAGTGTGGCCACTTCCCTTTGCTAGAACAGCGCTCTGCTGTAGTCAACACACGTTTTTCACAATGTCTGACAGGTGACATACTCACGCGTGCGTGCGAATGGTACATACAGGTTTTTGAACTAAAGCAAAAGTCGCATGTCCTCCAAGATACACGCCTTGCACTTGCCATCTGAGAGGCCACGGCCGCCTGGAACGGGGGCGCGTGGCGGTGTGGGTGCCAAATTCAGGCGGCCATGGAGAGGCCATGAAGTCTCACAATGCCTCGCAGATGGCAGCACATTATCGAGCTTTTGCTGTTTGCCTTATCAACACCTCTAGAAAGGCATGATATGTTTTCCGCTAGATGGACAGAGTTGTCCACTTTCAAAGCTGTTTGAAAGTTCTTGTGTGTTTTTGGTGGAGATGGCTGCACTATCCTGGCCTTTTTCGATGAAGTTTGATGGCCTCCCAAATGTTCCTACAAATTGCCAAAAGCGCTCGTGTTCGTCGTGACACCTGTCTAACAAAATGCGTTAAGGAGACTCCTTCCTCTACGTGGCATATATGTAGTTTTTTTTTCCGAAGCAGCTGCAAGTAACATGGTAGCTTTGTGGTAAGATACCTGCCTGCCACAAAAACAGCCCGGGTTTGATCCTCAATGGGACAGAAAATTTTATTGTTTATTTTATTTGCTGCTTTCTAGATTTTTCGCTCACACCCAACGGTGCCAATGCCGACAGCGGAATTTCCGCGACACAAGCTCTCTAACACTATAGTGTTAAAACTTTGGTTGCTATAGGCACCAATATAGAATCCACACATATCCAAAAACGTGTGTGTGAGCTTTGGCCAGAGTCGAAACGAAACTGTTGAGCACCTCATGTGCAATTCAATAAACCTGGCTTGACAGTGCATAATCATGAATGAGGTAGAGCACTATGCTGTTCTGGAGGCATGCAGCAAAAACAAAACTACTGCTTGTCACACCTTTAATTCTAGGTGTGGTAGACTTATAGATAGCACCCATTCAGTTTTCATGCATTATGTAAAATTGTAAACAAAGTTTTGCTACGGTCCCTGAAGCCTTGGTTGTCAACAACACAATTGTGGTAAGATTGTAGATAGTGACCTCCTCTTTCTGGAGGCCCATGGTCATTTTGGTCGTGTGGAAATGCTGCTTTCAACCCTTTGAATCGCGTATTTGGGGCACTTCGTTGTTGGCGTGCTCGGCGGAACATCCGAATTAACTGGGTTGCAATCAAATATGACTCAAGTAACGAGCTTTGTGTCATTAAATAACACTCAAACCTCATTATAGCAAAGTTGCATCTTGTAAGAAAATAAGTTTGTTATATCCAAAAATTTGTTATGAAGATTATTCCTAACACTGTATTTATCGCAAGACTATTTTTCATTTGCTTAGATGTAATTAATATTTGTTATATTCCTATTCGTTACATTGAGATTTCAGTGTATATATGCTTGTTAGCAGTATAGAAACGTCTGATTAGATTTTTCAAATAAACAGATGTCAAATTTGCGAGCTTTTACTTTGTATATATTTGGATTCCTCAGCATGCAAGAAATGTTTTTCAACTAGCCATAGTTTTAAGCGGAATGATGCACTCACCTCACGAACAATAATACTTTGCTATTTGTGTTCATGTTAAAATTCTGAGCTTATTTGTATTATGTGCAGGCGTTAAGAAGTGCCTGCAGAGTATTCAATGTTGTGAATATGGTGTGTCATCTCAAGTCGATTTCAGATTTATTGTTTCTCTGAGAATGAGTAATATGTTGCCACACAAACAAATCCTTTAAACTCTGTGTTCTTTAAAAATATTTAGCTGTGATTTGGAATGTTCAATACTTTCTGTATGTTTTTTTCTACAACCAGATAAATGTGAGACTATAATGTGTATACTCTGTTTATTGTAGCACCTATGCTTGTTCAAGGGAGAGCAAGGCTGATTGAAGAGGTGAGAGTTCAATTTTATTTGAACATTTCTGACTGCATGCAGTGTTCCTTGTCATCTGTTTACTTAATACTACTACCCTTGCCTCTGTTTCAGCATAATGCCATGCGTCACAAGTTGCTCACTCAAGATGGAAATGAAATTGACTCCGTGTTTGTGGACAGAAGGAATTCCACGATCTATGCAAACGGCAACATTCTGGTATAGTCCAATTGTGTAGTTATTATCTGCATTTATGTGAATGTAACAATGCTGCATTATGTAGGATTTATAGCACATCACATTATCGTAACCAAGGGCAATACGCCTGACAAGAGTGGATTTATAGGTCTCAAACGACTCTTTGGAGTATATAAGTGCTAGTGCATCACATCGTGAATTGTGGAAAAGAATTAGCTGTTGCACTGCCACGCTAGCACGTTTAAACGAGTACTGACACAAAATGTCGCGGTCAAGAAAGCCTGCAGCACCGTTTCCTGTGAACATGCGTATATCGTCTGCAAAATATCAACGGCGAATATAGCTTGGAAGCTATTTTAAATTAATTTTAAAGTTTTTATGAGCAATCGAATTCATCGCACTATTTTTCGCTTTTTGAACATTGCGGCAAAGCTCACTTTCAGACGTTAGCTACGACAGCAAACCCGTCAACCTGAGAAAGTGCCAATTCAAGCATGCGGGACGGTAGACGTAGCTAAGGTAGGGCTGTAAATAATGCTTTTTCGAACATGTGGGCAGGAAGTTAGAAAAATGCGACACTTGAACTCTTCGGTGTTCAAAATTTTGAACGTTATTACGCTTTGGCTAATGACAGTGCCGCGAAAGCATCTGAATTTTCATGCATCTCTGAAAGATTGGGCAGCCAAAAAACTGTATTTGTGGATATTTAAATGGCTGGCATATGTGCTGCTAGGTGAAAACCTACACAGCTACAAGACATTATCAAAGTGCTTGCTGCAGTGACCAAAGACAGCCCAGCTTACTTAGAAATTCAAAAGTCCAGGAAACGTTCTTTTTGGTCTTCGTATGGCAAATGTAGTGACCATTTTTGTGCGTGGGATGACTCTTCAGGGTGTTTCTTGCTCTTGGGCTGATACACCAGCTGCCCTGTATTCAAAAATTCGACTCTGAAAGGGCCAAGCAATGCTCTTTAAAAAATTTAAAATATACTAAACAGTTTCTCATGGTCAACGCAGTATTTAAAAAAGCATTTGGTCAAGGAACTCGACAAGCCAGATGTTTTCTTATAGTGTTATAGATGAAACACCTTCCTTAAGAGAGGTGAAATCGCGGAGGTTTCTTTGATGTTTAGTGTACAAGTATGGACAAACTCATGTGATAATGAAGTCATCCTTAGGCATTTTTTATAATGAAGTGCTGTAGTTCATTATTTTACCATTGCCTTTTTCCACTAAATACTGGCAGGTTAGCCACAGGTGTTATTAGTAAATCTATGTTATTCTGTATTTTTATTATGCTTAGCGTGCAGCATGTTACGCTTTTATCGGTCGTCTGTCGTGAACACATGCAGTACGTACCTTCAATTTACTTCTAGCAATACCTGCTTCGAAAGCCAGTTATACTGCTCCAAAACACATTTTCGCCTACTCCAAAAGCTTCTCCAAAGCAGCCTAAGGCAGTAGCATCATTGACATATTGTGGTATGAAACGTACCGGCAGTCTTTTGCATGGTTGGAACAGTGTAGTGCAAATGCCATTCATTACAGTTGAAAAAGTAAAGTATTTATTTTGTTGTCAATTCCTGAACTCTGCAGTTTATCAGAGGAAGCAATAACCTCAGACTACCTAATAAGCTACATTACGTCATGCGGTAGTTTGTTGCCTTAGTCTGAATTTGCTGCATTTTTCTAGCACAGCTTGCACTAGTATGTTTTTGCTGTACGTGTGGTCAACCTCCCGGCCTTTCTATTCATCTGTCTCTCTCTCTCTTGCTGTATGTGGCAGCAAACCTCAAAATTTGTTTAAATGCTTGTGTACTCAGTTTAGGTGCATGCTTAGAAAGCCTAGGTGATTTAAAATAATCCAGAGGCTTCATTATAGCATGTCTTATATTCGGAAAGTTTTTGCTAAGGTTTGGTCGAATAGTTTTCAAAGGGGCACTGACACAAAATTTCACAACTGAGATAGCCTGTGGGGTGAATTCCCGTGTACATTCGTAAATCATCTGTTAAATATTAACAGCAAATATAGCTGGAAAAGTATTTTAAATCAATTTTGAAGCTTGCGTGAGGGCTCGACTCCATCGTGCCATTGACACCCTCGAAGGGGACCCTTTGGGGAACCCGTATTTCCCTCACGTCACCATGCTACAGTTAATAAAACAAGTTATGATGGCATCATAGCCTTTTTTTTTTTTTTTTTTGTCGTGTTTTTTCAATCTATACTTCTCCGCGACTGGTCGCAAGTGAGTGGTCGTGGCGCACGCTTCGAAAGTTTTGTGTTTGGTGACACTGCAGTCCCGTTTCCTGTTCGAAAGTAATTCTTGATGCAAATTGTACGGAAGTGTGTCACAGTTGTGTGCTGATGTAATTGGGAGCTGTGGACGCTAGATGTTGATAGTTGCACACGGCGGCTTCTTGTTTTTGGAGCTCTCCAAAACTGAAACTGATCGATAATGATGGGCCTGTAATTAATCATCTGTCGTGTCTTGCAGCAAACAATGTGTTGTGTTTTGAGTAACAGGCCCCCAGCAACACATTCCAAAAGAAAAATGCGAGGCCAGAGATTTTGTGTCAGTACCCCTTTAATCTAATAGTTCAATATAGGTAGTATACATCACATAATATAAAGGAGAAGCAGCAGTTTTGTCTTGGTCTGGTTAGTTGCACAATATTTTTTTAAAATTGGAAATGGTCTTGTGCAAGTGTCATGTGTTTCGTTTGAAACAAAAGGCTTGCTTGCAACTTACAACAGTAGCAGGATTTGAATAGTAGTGAGGTGCAAGTTATAAGCTTTATGATACAAAACATTTTAAAATTTGCCAAATCTAGCATATATAAGTCAGTGTATCACACTTTTAAACTTCAATAAAGAGTAATCAAGGTGCAGGTGTACATTATGTTCAACCTTGAAAGCATGGTATATCACAGCCATGTGGATTACCACTGGGTAGGTGGGTTCATGGTGTTGCAATTCCATGCAGCAGCGAAACAACCTTTTCAGAGGGGTAAGATGCTGTAAGATATCTGTTCATTCATTTCAGGTACTTCATAACTTTAAAACTTCATCTGTGTCATAGCAGATTTGCATACTTAAAGATTTGTTGGAATATTTGAAACTTTCGAATACTCACCCATGCCTAGTTTTTACACATGATTTGTTGTGGCATTACAGCTGCATGCATACAAAAAAAGTCACATGTGTTAATGGTGTTGCAGGAATTGCTTGTTCTCTTACTTTCATTTAATAGTTCTTATAAGTACTTTTACTGCTTGACAGAATTTGGTGACCTGACAGCCCTGCTGCTTTTGGTTACAGGTTGTGTGCTGCGAGGGCAATGCAGGCTTTTACGAGTATGGCATTGCAACAACTCCCATTGAGGCTGGGTACTCTGTGCTGGGCTGGAACCATCCTGGCTTTGCGGGGAGCACTGTAAGCAATGGATTTTGATATGGTAGATGGTTATCAATGGTCGTGTGCTGTAAAAGGTCGTGTTCTTCGTTAATACAACATTACCACATCAACAGGAGCTTTTGTATGCTTGCAAAATGTTCTTGAAAAGAAAAAAAATCGCCCTTTTGTTTTTGAAAGCTGTAATAATAGCAATTTTCTACTGAGTGTGTTATGATCGCAATGATGGGCTATTCATAAAAGAAAAAGTTAGAAGAAGCATACCATTAAAAATATTGAAATTGCATGTCATGGCTTAAAGGGATGCTGTAGCACTTCATGAGCATGGTCAGAAAATGGCTGCTGATCAGTAGTCGAGGCGCCTGATAGCACGCGAGTCATAATCTGCACACGGCCTGGAATTTACAATTAATTCTCAGTCTTCTTGAAATTGCTTGGTCTTCTCTCGACAAATAGTGCTATCAGCCTATAACCCTAAGTCCATAGCCGTCATCCTATTTGAGCATTGTGAGCTGTGTAGTTATTGCGGCAACTGCGTAATTGCCTCCACGTGCCTGCATGCGCATTTGTGATCGCACTAAAAGTAAGCTTTTGAGGAGAAAGAAAGTGCTCATGGTTGCAAAATGTGCTGGTCGAGAGACGTAGCTTCTTGCGTCCTTGTCATCACCCCTCCGTGTCTTTCACTGTGCTCACTGTTATGAAGGGAGAGTGAAAGTGCAGCAGGTCTCTGCAACTCTGCTTGTACTAGACGTACTTAAGAATTTTCGCGACTGCCAATTCGAGAGGCTGTAACCTTTAATGAAGCAATCAGATTATCCCCTTCAGGTGCAAATTATGATGAACTGTCCGTAAATGTGTAAATTTTGCATGACAATCTTCTAAGATGCTCAATATTACATTCCAAAAAAGAAAATTAAGAAATAGGTTGTTTTTGGTGAGCTTTGTTGACGCAGCTAAACCAATCTAGGAAGTGTGAAAATCGGCGAGATTATGCATCAATAGCAGCAGAAAATAACAATAATATTTTCAAAGCATACTTTTTTTTTTTTTTCAAATTTTTGGTCTGAAAGGCCCACTTCCTCCCTTCAAGGGGCGAAAGGAAGGTTCTACTAGAAAAAAACGTTTTTGTACATCTCTGGCCTAGGGCAATAAAATTTTTACCATACACGAGTTTCTATGCTGATTTCAAAAATGTAGTCAGCTTTATATCAAGTTGCATAGTTTTCATTTCATGCCATCACAGCATGTAAAATGTAGCTCCTTTTGATCACACTTTTTTTGCCAGTAATCTTTCATGATAATGAGTCATTAATAGCTTATGTTGCTTCACAAGTTTATAATGCAATCAACTATCAAGAAAGGGCCAAATATACATTTAAATGAATGGGAAGCAAAATGTTGTGTGGGAAGTCTTGAAATTTCCAGCTTATACTCATTGCTCACCTAAAGTTCACAATAATTATTTAAGTTATATCAGGTTTTAAAGGAGATAATTGCACTCTTCACGTGTTTTAGAATATTTGACAAAAATTTCATCCCAATCTGGCGTTAAGAAGCGCCAAAAGCATTGACATCCAAACTCAAGAAGTTGCACAAGATAGCATCTTGAGAAAAACTCCTTTAAAACTTAGAAATGAAAGCTCTTCTATGTAACAAGGGTATGTTTTTTTTATTTCTTGTATCATGAAAGTTTTGCAATCATGGTTATTTTGCACATGTAGAATGCAGTGGCAAGCAGCCAGCTGACAATTTTCAGGGGACTCTAGACAATGAGCTCTTGTTAGTTTTTTAATAGCCACCTTGTGCTCTATACTGCAATATTGATTTTTTTTTCCTCATGAAGGTAGAGAACCTAAACTTGTGAAAGCAAGTAAAAACAAAATGTATTTAATTTTGGAAAAAACTTGTGTTTCAAGTAGATCCCCTTAACAGATCTCTGCCAGATATTGTAGGACGAACTTGCAAAATTTGCGAGCGTAGGGTGACAGAACAGGCATTCAATTTAGTTTAAACAATATAAATGGGCACCTCGGCACTTTGTTCATGACTGATTATGCGTCGGCGATGGATCACGTGGCAGAGTTTTTATAAATGGGTATTTGCCACTGCTCCATTTTGTCATTGAAACTCGCAACGAGTGCTTCAAGAAGCGTCGCTGTGTGCTGCGATGAGCTTTTAGGCTTAGCTTTGCGTCTGAATGATGTCAGTGAGAGTCGGCAGGCGTTCTGTAGTGTGAGCGGCATCCCTCCCCCCCTTTTTTGTGTTTTCTTCTTTTTTTTCCTTTTTCTTCAACAATCTCGTCTCTGTGTTCGACGGTTCGTTTCGTGAGGCGCAGCGCCTTGCGCGATTCGTGGAGTGGCACAGGTGGCAATCGCAAGTTCTACATAAACGGTGCTAGAACAGGTCAACATAGGCAGTGTTAATAATGTCTAGTTGCGTGCATTAAGCGGCGTTATCACCTCGTACCATATTCGCTTGTCACTTCGTGCCATACACAGGTGCTTTATGAGATAGTCGGTGCGGCGAGGTTTCTTGGCTGCCGTGCCACGCTCTTGAAAATGATCAAGCGCGAGGTGGCCGCGAACAGCGATGCAGCACACTTTTGTTGTTTGTCAAAAGCTGGCTCTGCACTGGGGAGGGGGGGACATTATGCCAACCGCGCAGCTGAGCAGATAGAGAAACAGACCTGCAAAAAGTCAACGCAGTAATATGCTAAATCATGTCACTGTTCTTAAGTGAAGGCCCATGGTTATGTGACTACGATTCTTATGTGATCACAATTTTTTAAATTCTTTCTGAGGGTGATTGGTTTTTATTTTCAAATGTTTTCATAGAACTTAGTTTTTTTTTATAATTTCACATGTTGGTGCAAATGATAATGCTGTTCATACCTGGCAACAATCTGTTCAAAAACTTTTTTGAAAGTCTGTTTCAGTGCTATGTGTATTATAAGCCAATTAAAATATGCATTCGTGCCCCCATGTTGCTACAAATTTGTTGTTTGAGCTTCTAAAACAGCGTATTGAATGGTGGTAACTGCTCCAAAGCAAGGTTTGTCTGCTTCAAAATTGGAATTTTGCTGCTCCAAAAACTGCTCCCAATTCAATCTCGGCCATGTCACCCCTGCACTGCGCCACTTGCATCAAACTGTGCCACCTTTCTCCAGTGTGGGAGTGTAGGAAGAAGTTGCTGAATTTATTGATGCATGCACTTCTGCATAGACTTTGATAAGTGCTGTTGTTTAACATCTGCAACTAGCTTATTCAATATATTTTATTCTATTTGTTGCCGCTACAGTAGAGAGCACGTTTAGATGATGTTTTCTTATCGCCATCGGAAAAATGAGCCAGAATAAATGTTTTATTTCTTTGCAGCCAAGTTTATAAAGTGTCTTTTTTAGGGTGAAAAAGTCTTAATGCTCGGAGCCTCTTTTCGTTTTGTTCTCTTGAGCACTAACGCAACAGCTATTAATGTAAAATGGAAGAGATGTAAACATTTTTTACTATAGTAAAATTCAGTTGTATCAAACTCTGAAAGGGATTATGAAAAGGTTGGATTTGTCAGTAGTTTGAAAACAAATACATAACGCACTTATATGAAGATTATATTGAAATTCCACACATCTGAGACGGCCTCTTGAGATTAATAAAACCAGGAATTTATCAATTGGCTTTGAAGGCTACATTTAAGGTATGAAAGCTTACTAGTAAATTTTTTATTCTTTCTTGTGGAGCACACACATCAGACCAAGATGCCTTTTGCATTCTTGCAGTAGCCTGGCAGCCCTCTTGCCAATAAGGAATGGACGCAGGTCACGTGATTTACTTTATGGTGTCAGTTCTCACTTTGTTGGTGTTATTTATTGCATTGAATCGCTGGGTTGCAAAGAAGCATGTAAAAAGAATCGTCAATATCGAGTGCAGAGAAAATCTGTAATGCATAAGCCATTCTCCCTTTTTGTGAGATGTACCGTATTTACTCGATTCTACCGCGCCCTCGATTGTAACGCGCACCCGATTTCCACCGCGAAAAAAAAAAAAAAAAACGTAAGACATCGATTGCAACGCGCACCCATTTTTTTTCGCTGGCCCGCACGATCACACCACTCGAAAAAACGATTCCTTTCGGGATTGTCTTCCATCTAAATATGAGGTACGGGCGAAGCTTGTGCCCATCTGACGTGTAACAGAGCATTGCCGTCACTGTAGTTTTACCGTGGACCGATGTCAGCACGCGAACTTGCTTTGCCCCCTTCTTCTGGAGCCGTTGTAGTGCCAGGCATGTCGAAGTAAAGAGGCGTCTGATCGGCATTCCAGATTTGCCCAAGCAGGTAGCCGTTGTTGCGCCGCAAGTTTAGGACGAACCTTTGAAAACTGTAAAGCTTTTCATCGTACTTCTCCGCAAAAGTTTTCGCATATGCATGTTCCCCTTCGAAGGGAAGAGCCTTTCCTCTTCATATAGTTAATTAGCCAGCACCTGCTCGCTTTAAACTGGCTCCGCATTAGACTTTTTTCTAAGACTAATTGCATAGCCCGCACTTGGAGCAGTTCTGTCGTCACGGGCCGCTGTGCCGCTCGCTCCTCAAGCACATACTCGCGGAGCAGCTCTTTAATTTGCGGAAACCGACCCTGCTGTGGTTCACTGAAGCCTTTGCGTGAAGCTTTGCTGTCGACAATCTTCTGCTTTTGTTTCCGCCGGTCCCGCACGCACGTTTCGGGAATGACCGCGATGCGGCCCGACTTCCGTCCGTTTCTGCACACGCGATGACTTTTCTTTTAAAAGCGGCATCGTGGTGCACTTGAGTTTTTGGAGTCGGCCCTTTCACGTCGTCGATGCTAATGCACTACTAGATGACGAACTCCTCAGCGCACGTACGAAGTGCCGCACATGGTAAACACATAGGCAGAAATAGCCGACGCACGTAGGGGGCGGCCATTTTGGATTTGCGATGGCAATAGATTGACCGTAATTTTTTGTTCGTACTGGATTCTAACGCGCATGCGATTTTTGAACTCGCTTATCCGGAAAAAAGGTGCGCGTTAGATTCGAGTAATTACGGTACTCTTTCAACTTTTTTACCTCAACATTTTTACCTCCTGAAACTTTTGCACTGCCTCTTACAAGTCTGTGCAATGGTGCGACTTTTGATGGCGGATGCCAAGAAAATGCCATTTTGGTGGCATAAATATTTCCAGGGATGCTAGAAGTGATTATAGGCCATTTACGAGAAGCACACTAGCAAGAATGCAGGACTTATGTACATTGAATGGGCAGGGTATTTGGGCTTCGGTATAAGCATGTTGCACTTACTATGTTTTTGCGAAGCATCTTCAAGAAGGTGCTAAGACTGTTCAATATAGCCAATAGGTCAGTACACCTGCATTTAATATCTCCTGATTGAACTGTATTATGTGTCATTACTGTTGGTTAAAGAGTATGCCCAACTCATTTCAGGGAGTACCTTTTCCAGACCAGGAAAAAAATGCTGTGGATGTTGTGATGCAGTTTGCCATACACCGGCTGGGCTTTGCCCCTGAGAACATCATTGTGTATGCATGGTCAATAGGTGCTTATTGTGCCACCTGGGCAGCCATGAACTACCCTGACATCAAGGGACTGGTCAGTGGGTCTTTTTCCGTTCTTTCCTCAAAGAATATTTACAACGAGTGTGTGGGCTGTACAGCAGAGTGAGATATCGACATGGGTTTACTGGTTACTACTACTTCAGATAAACTTATTCATTTTGCAGTGTAGTGACACTCGAATACTGAGCATTATGTCGAAAACTAAAAGAATATCACCTTTTGCAATCACAAATGTTAACCCTTTGTGGTCCAAAACCCGTTCCAATCTGCCCTCCGTTCTAGTCCTAAACTAAAAGACTCAAAGTTTAAGTAAAAGAAGTTTACTTACTCTTTTACAGATGGTGCATAATGTAGTCAAAAAGTGTACATGAATCAACCATGAAAGAACTCGTCCAGCAGTGCTTGATCATGTGCAACTTGAATTGTCTTCGCGAGTGTCAGCGTTACGTTGCCAGAATGAAAATCGTTTGCCACTAAAAAAACATAAAGGCAGAGGCAGGCTTTATGCAGCTCGTTCAGTAAAGGAATAACAAATATGTATCACGCAATTATATCATTTGAGAAAAATTCTAGCCATTGTTTTGCTCAACTATGAAATCGGAGATAAATGCAGAAAGAAAAAGTACTGTTTAAAAATGGGCAAGCCACAGTGAATCTATTTTATAATACACTAAGTGTATGAATTTTTAAAATTTTCATACTTTCACTAAGCATAACCCTGTCAACCTTTACATAGCACTAATCGACCAATCTGACTTGTTATGGTGGCTTTGTTCGACTCTCAGTGATATTTGCAAAAGTCTTATTGGGGCAGGTTTCAGAATTGTGCATAGTGTGCCAAGCTTATGGTACCTCAGGTAGTCCGCTGCAATGAGGAGACCACCTCCACCCCTGTGTCATCTTTCATAGCCTGTATATCACTCTTGGGCATGAAAGCAAGGCACAGCAGAATTTAGTTCACCTAAATTGGTTATAAAAATACTGGGAAGGGGCGAAGCATGGATAAGTGTTCCAGGTCCACTAATGTGAACCTGGAGGTTGGGGGGGTTGAAGCATGCCATGTTTTGGGAAAGATTTCTTTAGTGAGACACTAGTGGTGCCAAGCCTGAAACGGGGCATGTGAGAAAGGTTGTTTCAGCTCCACTAATGTCAAAAAACTCTGTCGGTAGTGCAGCTTACCTTTAAGTGTGGCCAATTTTTCTTCTTTTTTTGTTCCTACATGCCTGGTTTCGGTTCTCTAGGGCATGTAAGGGAAGGGTGTTTCTGCTCCTCTGATATCGTCAGCTTTTTGCTAGGCTAACTGTTGCCTTAATTTTTAGTTGATTGCATGCAGGGGTGGAACACCTGTGCCATTTGCGCAATTGTGCGCCAAACTTGCTTACCTGCGCCATCCTGTGCCGCACCATTCCTGTTGCGCCAAGCTCGCTTATCAGTGCCGTACTGCACCGCAGCACCAGAATTCAGTCACAAAGTGCGAAAGTCATCAAGTGTCATGCGCGGAAACGTAGCTGAAACATTGGTTTCATCGAAACAGTTATACTTTCGGTTTCGCTCCAGGAGCAGCTGTGAACTTTGATCCTAAGGGCGTGGTTGCTATCGCTATGTGTGCATGATCACGGCAGGCATCAGCGCGAATAGTTCGTGAACCCTTATACGTGCTGCTCTGTCAACGTGAAGACGTTGCAAGAAGAGCATCCCTTCCTGGCGCAGCTGTATTCTCTTACACCAGCGTTTAGTGTAAAGTTAGATAACAGTTCTAAAAATGTTGGCTACCAGCCTTATAATTTGTTGCTATGGCGTTCTTTGCTTTGCCATTCTGATGAAACAGCTTTTTTATAAGATGATGGCAGCGTTCGGAAAAGAAATGAAGAATGGCAATCACAGAGCTTAAAAGAAGAGAGGCGGTGTGCGTTTTCCGGAACAGAACAGCCTAGCAATGACAGGTGCACATGACTGCTCATCCAACATATGCGCATATTCTAATTCGTTTGGCTGCTTTGATTCGCGCTTTTCGACTCTGCAATTGACGCTTGCGCGTTCAGGTGAAAAAAAATAACATGAGTAACTGTTTATAACTTAAGTCACAGTTGCTCCGCAAGGGTGAAGCAATGAATTCAATAGCAGCAAATTGTAATGTTATACAAAGTGAGGCTGGCAGCTAACTCTTTTGGATACTATCTCGCATAACTATACAAAATGCTGGTGTACGAAAATACGGCCACTTCAACTAGAGCAAATTTTTTTGCTCAGTCTCTTCATGGTGAGAGCGCAGTTTGTAGAAGTGTATAGTCACCCACTGATTGCTGCCAAGCTATAGTGCGCGCCAGTGATCGTGACCACATCCTTGGAAGCAAAGCTCACAGTTGTTGCTCGAGTGACACCTGCCTCCCCATTTCTTTGTTGTTGTTTTTATGCTCTTCGAAGGCGGGTGGAGTGCTTCCTGTCTGCATCGACTACAGGCCTCCCGGGAGGGGGTATCTGATTGTATCGCACGCACCCTCCGAGGGGCAGTGATGAGTCGGATCGTTTGATCTCGGCTTCAACCACGTTCGTCGCTCCGGCTTGCCTGTTTCGACCTGTGGATAGAACATATTATCAATTTAAAATTGATACGAGACATGACGGCAAGGGCGAGAACCCGTCTAAAGTGTCTAATTTTTTATGCAGTAACGAGGTTATTGCACAATTTAGTCGAATCCTTAAAAAAAGCAGCATGAACAAATTTTGTTCCACGAGTGCTTAGAACAGTGCTAAATCTGCTGAGAATGTTCCTACTGCTCTAATTTTGTTCTAAGAGGCCCTTCTGGCTGCTCTAAACCTGCTACAAATATTTTGCCTGCTCCCAGGGCTGCTCCCAAACCCATGTACCCTGTTCCACCCCTGGGATCTGTAGTGAGTCAGGGATTTATTTATTGCGGCGTGTACCGGTTTTTATGACGTACCGCGACTACATGACACACAGTGACAACAGGAGACGCTGACAAGCCTAGCACCTAAGGTACAAGAGAGGGGAAATTGATCAGGTGATTGCTTTTTTTGTTAGACACAATCTAATGAAGCCAAGGAAAGCATAGTGGACATTATTTTTCGTGTTTAGCTGTAATAATTTAGTTATATAAAAAGAGATTAAAGAGATAAAATATTTTCATTTGTCTTTTTTTTGTGTGTGTGTGTGTACATTTTCACCCACACACACACAGGGCACTTTCAAGGTTCTTGAAGGGAAACGATTTACAGATTATTAACATATTCTTAAAGTACCGGTTCTTTATGTATTATGATAACACAGTGATATGAGCCTCTCGTCACACCCTTGCACATGATATCGGTATGTTTCCGCAGCTGCTCTTCTCCATAGCTGTATTGGTGCCGTACGTCCAGATGCACTTCTCTGTAGAGCGCGTTAGCAGCCGTTTTTTGAAGGTTCTTGCTCTGCGGGGCGACACCTAGTGAAAGTTGCGGGCTCCGACGTGGTCAGCATGACTATCAACCATGCATGCTCCTCACACACCTCATTGGGATGCCCCGCCACGGTGGTCTAGTGGCTAAGGTACTCGGCTGCTGACCCGCAGGTCGCGGGATCAAATCCCGGCTGTGGCGGCTGCATTTCCGATGGAGGCGGAAATGTTGTAGGCCCGTGTACTCAGATTTGGGTGCACGTTAAAGAACCCCAGGTGGTCGAAATTTCCGGAGCCCTCCACTACGGCGTCTCTCATAATCATATAGTGGTTTTGGGACGTTAAACCCCACAAACCAATCAATCAATCAACCTCATTGGGACCCGAAACTGCCGCAAGGTGTCGCTCCACAGTGCAAAAACAGGCTGTACGGACACTCTACACCGGCCTAGATAGAGGTATTCAAGTGGCCATAATGAATGTTTTGGTACCCGATGTCGTAAAGTGTAGCCATACTGAAGTGTGAAGTCGCCAAAACTGACACTAGCTTGACATCACTATAGTGTCAGTAAGCGTGCTATGCAAAAATCAATGTTAATGTAAAAATAGAATATCAGCTTTACTGAGCTTCACACTTTGAGCAATCTCGTTATACAAGAGATCTCTGTGGCAGTGTAAACTCGCCTTTGAAAATTAGTGTCAGAACTCCTGTAAAGTTAGTAAAAAAAAAAACTTGCTGTGGTCGAAGAAACGACCGCCGTCGTAGCTCAGTAGCAATTCTGCAACGTTAAAATGGGTCATGCCTAGTCAGTCTTATCTGTGTAGCTGGTGGAATGATAGCATTGCAACAGGTTCTTAGTGTTTTGGGGCTAGTCCAGGATGTAAAAAACGGGCAGGCACACAGTGGGTGCCTTTCACACAAGGAGGTGGTGCGTGCCTTCAGGAGGTTTCTTCAAAAAACAAATGCCATGTGGGTGTCCTCATCTGGTCAAGACCTGTAAATCGAAAAAATCACACACAAAAACTTGTGTATTCTCTTTTTCATTGTTGCTGTTCTCAATTACGAAGAGTGTGAATGAATTGCATATTGTTATGCTGCTGCTGTTCTTTGCCAACAGATACTGGATGCTACCTTTGACGATGTTCTTCCCCTGGCTGCATCCAAGATGCCTCCTAGCTGGGGTGAGCTGACACTATGTGGTAATCGTGCAGAATACTTCGTGAAGGCTCCTTCCTCTATTGAGCTTTTTTTTTTAGTGTTAGACAAGTTCGGAGTTAGTATCTATAAACTGTTTGTGATAGCTGGAAACCAGTGCCACCATCTACCTTTTATTTTAATAATGAATAATGCGCTATTGAGGCTATTTATTAATCCCATTGTGGCAATTCTGTCGGCTGAAAAAAATACAGTACTTTTTTTCTTAATAGTCCTTGCTATTAGAATGATGCTGAAGAAATTGACAATGAAGAAGGAATTAAAGATAGTAAAGGGGCCCTGCAATATGTTTCCATGTAGCCAAGTGACTGATAACAGTATCGGACCATTGCTCATGAATCAATCGCTGCAAAAACTTCTCTGATCTGTTCAGGACAAGTGAAGCTGCCGGGATTTCTCGCATACTTTGCATGCTACTTCTTAATTATCTGTCCTGAAAAGTGCTTTGGAAGCTATACAGGGGGGGATGACAAAGAAGAAGCTACGTCACCACACCTCATTGCCTTAAGTATTATCTCTTCATCTTTGGAAGTGTTGGCACATTTCCGGAATAATGATGAGTGCACCAGATGTACATTCATACCTGCAAAGTCTCCTGCGTTATCTGGAAGACTCCCGGATTTCACCCGTTTCTTCCGTTTGTATGGTTGTCATGAAAATTTTCCAGAATTCGAAACTTCTGTGCGTGATTTGGCCACATTGGCGAAAATGCAGGTTAATTCACTCCAGGCTTTTTGTGAACCCATCGCATTTTATTATAAACGAATTTCGAAGGCGGTCATCTAAGCATACAGTAGAATCTCAGTGATTTGAAACGGCGGCAGGTACGTATTTGTGAAATTCCGCAGCGAAATTCTACTTGTTCATTAGGTCAAAATTTGAATGCTCCGAACACTTTTGCTAATCGTGGCAAGTGATATTAACTTTAGTGCCAAAAACGACGAACGAAGGCCGTGAGCAATGGGCTCAAAGCTTTGGAATTACACGTGCGACCAGCGCTCGCACTGTCTTCTACAGTGCATGTGATTGTCCACGCCAGAACTACTGTGGATTAAACTACAGTTGTTCTTAACAGGATCTTGTATGGCGACGACGTTACTGACAGAACTTCGAAAGATTGCCCTCGTCTCGCGCTCGACCAGTCAAAGCAATGCTGCTTTCCACAAACTCGGTGGACAAAGTCGTGGCAGACGCGATCATATATAGCAAAAAAAAAAAACTACTTCGATTTGAAGGCATGTACGCAGCGAGTGCACACGGACTGAAAACGGAACTACCGTTTGCCGCAACCGCGGCACACAAAACCGCAGTCACGGCGACGCCATAGCAATCTGTGTGCTCCAAGGGTACGCGGCTAGCGCAGCGGTAGATTGAAGGCAGTAAAGGTGTAAAAAAGGCTTGAAGTGTTTTGCGTTCCTGTACAAAGAATCTTGTAGAGAGCAAAGTTTTCACCTGCCCTTTCGTGACAGCCAGCTGCACCGTCCCACTCGTTCACGTGTGTCCCAGGTAGACATACGCGAGTTGTTTTGACAGAAATAGATTTTGCTGGTTGTTCTGACGACCCAGAATTTCGGGAGTACAGTCGCCGACCGTTTATTCGGACTCGACGGGAACCACCAAAAAGTCCGAATAATCGGGAGTCCGAAAAAACGGATTCACTAAAAAAAAAAACACTTTTACAGGCCCTATCGCCCGAAAAAGCTGTCATGTCTGCACGCATGCACTCTTCCGAGACGGTTTGCTTGGAAATTAGAAAATTCTCAAGCCACTTCAGACTGAGGTCCGCCGCCTTCTACCTGGCGAATTATCTCCGCTTTCTTCGTCATCCTGAGCATCTTGTAGTTCCCACGTTGGCCGCGCTTATTCACTCCCGAGGGCGCAGCAACGTGTGGCGTCGGAGCCATTTCAACACGCCACGGAACACTATAGAGAGCGAAAACACAGAGAACAAGACGAATCAGGCCTAGCTGCAGAAGCAGCTGACTGACACTGCTGACACATGCCAAACGCCACAGCGAACGGACTCTGTAGGTGGCTTGGCTTGGCCGCTCGACTGGCTAAACAATAAAAAGCGTCGCCACACATGGCCTTCGAGATCGGCACTGGCGATTTCTGCGTGCATTTTGACACTGGCCCGACATCCATCCATAGCTAGTGCAGCATATCAGTGCTGGCAACCTGGAAAACTTATTGTTAATGTCGCTGTCAGCGTGTAATGGAATGCGATGACGCATCCGGTCAGTCAAACGGAGTCCGAATAATCGAATGGCGCACAGTGGGGCGTCCGAATTTTCGGTTGTGAGTTTACATTAGGATGATGGGGAGAGTGGCGGTGCCATGAAGATGTCCGAATAAACGGGCATGTCCAAATTTTCGGCGTCCGAATAAATGGTCGGCGACTGTATTCGCGCTCCTCCTTTGAGACCCTCATCTTGGTGGGAAACCATACCCTCGTGTGTTCTGCGACTCCAACCCTATGTTTGCGCTTGTGATTGGACCCCCCTCTCCCTCTTGTTTTTATGATGTTTTTGTTTTGGTGGCAAAAAAAGGGAGGAGAAATGGGGGATAACTTGGCATGACCCCCCCCTCTCGTTGCGCAAATCTCCCGTATTCAGAATCCTTGAACTTGGCAGGTATTCACATAGGAGCACCCTGTTACAGCTGTGGTAAGTATGCACAGAGGCAGCATTATTGTTGTGTGAAAGTCTGGCATTGCTCAGGGATTACTTGATGGGCAGAATTTTGTACTGTGTCAGCTTCACCGATTGTAACAAAATCCAGATTTGGCATATTGAAATGAATTCAGTTATCTAACATCAAGCTGTGCCTGGTAAGGTGTCTTGCTAGCGAGGTGCATAAGGTAAAGAGTGCAGCAACTAATGTACCTATGATTTTGAAAACGGGTATATGCATGAGTAACCATCATCGCTATGTCATTAGTGCAAGAGAAGTGATCAACTTAGCATCCAGCATGTTAAATAACGTGGGTGTAGTGCGTGCCACCTTGCATGATTATAGGAGAAAAAAAAAGTCCTTCATGAATATTTGAATGCTTCAAATATTGGAATGAATTAATTTAAGTTAAGATATTTAAAATTTCAAGGTATTCGAAATGAACGAATAGGTGTATATTATGTCGCATGTAACCCCCTGTAAAGGTGGTTTCATTGTAGTATAGGTGTGCTAAGTTACGAAAGCGCCGATTTAAATGTGTATTATGCACCGGTCACACAACTGCGCTAAAAATTTCTTACAGAAGGGGTCCTTTGCAAAGTTGAAAGACTTTTTTAGGAAGAGGCGTTGCCTCGCAGGCACACAACACTTACGATCCCGTTTAAGGGTTTTCTTCCGAACATTCAACAATAGACGTGGCATTTGTTCTAAACAGAACCAGTCAAAACTAAATTACATCTCGATATATAAAATAAAATGTCCCTCTTCGATCACTGTACCTGTTCTTTTTTGTGTGCTGAGTGAGGAGGGCGACTAAACATGGCTTGTGTGATCCCGTCCTCATGAACTGCGCTTACCATAAAAACTGGAATATAGGTCGAACAGAAATGTAGGTCGACCTCTCAAATTTTGAATATCCGAAAGAGAAATTTTTAATAAATATCACTAAGTATTGCGGCGAACCCTTACCTTGGTGAATACACAACATAACCAGGCCAGCTGCACTTTGGTGACATTTTTTATTTAGGCGCTAACATGTAGTTATACAACAGAAGGCCACAAAGTGCTGTCACTCAGACTCGTCTGAGCTTGATTCCGACAAGTCTGTTTTTCACTATAGTAAAGTCCCAGAGTACATCGTCCTCCATTCCATCCAATGTGTTACTGATGCAGCATTCGCGGAAAGATGGAAGTATGCCGCCTTAGCGCAAAGCCTTGCTGCTTCATATATCCGCGCACCCATGATGACAATTCCTTGAATGGCACCTTCATGATCCCAGAGTTGCGTGTTATCTTGAGAGCTTTAATTCGGATGTACTTCACTGTTACGGGTAGCGACCTTGCACGCAGCTCCCGGATGAATTCGGCGATTAGCGTTTCCAGATCGGGGTTCACTGTACACGAAATGATGGTTTTCTTTTTTTTCTTTTTTTTTTTTCTTGCTGCAGGGTGTGATGCACTGCTTTTGGCTCCCCCAGTATCGAACGCTTTTCTCTAATGCACTGAATTCCCATTGTGCCGCCAGGTCGCCGTGCGCTTTAACATGCTTGATAACTTTTTTCTTAAATTTTATCATAGACTGCTATCCGCTACCACTAATTTCTGAAGGAAATCGAAAACAGCAGACTGAGGCTAAATAACCTTGTTAGAACACTGAAGTCCTTACCTAGCCATGCGCAACGGTGCTGCTGTTGATGCTCACGAGGGCAATAAATGCTTTGAACTTCAGTGATGCAATTTTATACGTGTTCTAAATCCGCATGGAGGTGTTCCGTTCCATCGAGTTGCTCGTGATTGGCACATTTGAGCCGTGTTGAATGCCGTGACATTCTATGTCATGTGAGCCAAGATGTCACGTGTCTGTTTTCGTCCGTTCCTTGGGCGGAGGCGAACGAACGGTCGGAAAGACTGTCCGAAACGAAACCGGTGGATGCGAGGCGGCATGGATTAAATTTAAATGTCAGCGCTTTGGGCCTTCCGGTATCTGGATACTTTGAGAAAATGGCGTCGCAGCGGGCCTCGTGCACTTATGCTGTGGCTCAATTCCTCCTCCCTTGTCATAGCCACCTTGTCTGTCTGTCTGTGTTCGTTGTCGTAGACACAGATGGACGGACAGACAAGCAGACAGAGGGATGGGCAGACAGACAGAGACGCTCGGACAGACAGACAGGCGTACGCACAGACAGACTGACAGATGGCGGATTCACGGTTTACCGATGAAACCCTTTCAATCTTCGCCCCACTCATCATCATTCGCTCCGTGGTGTGACGAGCATGCTGCGTCCCTCGCAGA